TCATAGACGGAAAGACCTTTACCGAATTCCCAACAGTGTCCCTGGGCTTGAGTCATTTCGCTCGCGTCCCTCTTATTGTCGGGTAAGCGTTGTTGTACTCTTCTCAAACTGAGAAACTGAACAAAGGTAGCTCCGATTCTAACGAATCGTATGTTCCGGGATACGATATACCATCATCCTTGAAGATCCTCTTTCCAGGACTAGACGAACAAGATACTAACGATTACCTTATCGTGAGTAACTTTCGCCCTAGTGGCTCTTTCAAAACTTACCCTTCAGGCGTACCCACCTTCAGACTTTGAGTCTGAGGAACAAAGACTAGCCGCGGCGACAGGCGAATCTTTGAATCGATGTTGTGTGAGTACATTCAAGTGCTTATCGTTGCTTCCACCGATCTAAACTTTCATAAAAAGCGCCCAATACTGGCTAGTGCGTATTCCAGCAAAGGGATCAATACGTGGGCCTATCGATACAACCAACCCAATCCGACGAGCGACAATCCTACCATCGTTGGTCACGGGGCAGAGAATTGGATGATGTTTCTAGGCAGCAATACAGGGTGAACCCCCTCCTTCTCTGATCCTCCCTTGACCTGACACGAGGCGAAGCTACAATGGTTCCGCAACTTTTAGCTCACTGACGTCAGAAGAAACGGCTTTCTCACAGGAGCTGATCGCTTATTGGCTTTCCTTCGTACGCGCACAGGATCCAAATACGTTCAAGCTACAACGATCACCCGTGTGGGATCGTTTCTCCGTGGGCGAGAAAAGGCAGATTGTATTGCAACAGAACACTACGACGATGAGTGGGAGTTTTATTGAGCTTGCTGATGAGAAAGAAGTGGTCCGGTGCGAGTTCGTCGCAAGCAAGGTGAAGAAGGAACAGAACTAAGTTCAGATTGCGTTCAATAGTATAATAGGAAATGAATATAAACGTATCCATATTCGGGTACAACACAATATCGCGAACTGACAGGTTCTAGGTTATTGTCTGGCCCATTGTCTGTTTCCGTTTCCTGAGTTTGTGATTCTGACGCTGCCGACTGCTCGGGCCCAGATAGTGTAGTGGCTTTCTGAGGCTGAGCCACATCGTCTTCCTGCAAGCAACCTTTCCCTCCTCAAGCACTCACGTACGAAGCGTAGACATGATTCACCTTCCTTCTCCGGCTCAAGTAACAGACGATGGTCGTTCAATTGTAACGGGTACTCCAACTAATGTCTTTGATGTGCACCCGCATCACAATTTCAGTTTAGTCATCCAGCTTTAATACCTTTATCGCGGTACCCGTCTTTAGTTCTAGCTGCTCTTCCATTGTTAGAATATCCAAGTCTGCTAAGCTGTTGACCCACTCCTGCCCTTCACTGATTAGGGCGAACGGGTAATCAATCGAATGCATAATCCTATCCAGGCCTATCTGGGACTTGTGGAATTGCAACAGCGGTGTTGCGAAGTTTCCAGCAGTCGTCTCGTACAAATTCGTGAGCCAATACGAGGAGGCATTCCGCTGCATGGGAATTCCCAGGGGAACTTGGCGAAGGAGTTCTTTATAAACAGATGAGTCAAGACCGTGAAAGGTAGCATACCATTACAAGACTTACGTTCATCAGTTCTGAATAAGTCCGAGGGAAGTCTCTCCCCGAGATGGCCAACGATGATTTTGAGAGTTGGGAACCGGCTGTCCACATTTGTGCTAGTCGCACATGTATGCGAACGCAAACGGAAAGTGTGCTTACTCGAAGACTCCGTTTGTGCATAATCCCAATATATGCGTCGATAGTGTTGCCGCAAATTCTTGAGCAGGGCCTTCCAGACCAAAGCCGTGAGCATAGACAAGCGACAAAATAGGTTCAACATTGGTTCTAGGGTGAAGGTACACCGGTACGTCCAGGTCCGTCACCATCTGCCAGAATTCATCGTATTCTGGCTGATCGTAGTATAAGAGAGTGTCTACGCGCGTGTTAGATACTTCGTGCAGTGTGGAGTACCACGAAGGAGACATACCATCGTTCGGTCCCGACTGTTGATAATCATTGAGCAAAGCTCCGAGGAAACCCAGCTCCGTGACGGTCCGATTTAGCTCTTGAGCAGCTACAGAGGCGTTATGCATAGCCAAAGCCGCGAAAGCACCGAATCGCAAAGTATTGTTCGAGATAAGATCTGCTAAATTGTTGTTGAGATCCACAGCCATTGTGGCGGCTGTTTCCGGATCGGATATCCCTTGGATGCAAGGTTGTACGCAAGAGAGAACCATCTGAGTGTACAGTTCTTGAAGCAGGAGAGGTGAAGCGGATGGAGGCGTCACTTACGAAGTCAATACCGAATTCATCCATAAGCGCAAGTCTGTGATTATGAACATCAACAAGATTTGCATGAAGTTCATCGATAGTTTTGCCTGTCGTAATAATTATTCAAGTTGGCCTGCAGGCACAAAAGAGTATGAGACTCACCAAGAGCCGGTGCACCACTGTAAGTGTGTTTTCAAATCAATATTTGCGATATCCGGTTAAGAGTAACACTCACCCTACAGTGACCGCAATTTCAGGAGTTGACCACGCCTCTTCAAAGACAATAGCGCCAACGCCGGTATCATTCCATATCCTAGCATGAACGACAGACGCCGCAGTAAGAACAAGCAGAAAGAAACCCTTCATTTCTTAGCAGCGATAAGACGAGACGTCCTGGCGACCCCACCGCCATATATACTACTCCTGGGAGACGACTAAGGATAAGAATAACCTGATAAAAATAACACCCTATAAATAAGTTCTCTCACTAACCAGGTTCATGAATATTCCGTCAGAGGACACGTCTTATTCATTGCTGACCTTGCGCGTCACGGGGGGCGAGCTGAAGAAGAGCCCGCGTTATCGGATTCAACACAGACTCGGATAGAAACCCTCACCACTGGGAATCATTCTTCATTTCTGCGCCATACGTTACTAATGCTAGGGATTTTATGATTAGAGATGTCAGGATAGCTATCAGTTGAACTATAGAACGGATGCATACCTTTTTCAATTCTGCATGAGCAAGCCCAAACTGTGTCAACATCAAGAATACTCGGCCCGGCCCCATATATGCTGGTCCCTGGAACCAACCTCACCACCCACCGCGAGAAAGGGAACCCAGAATATGCTCGTCCTGTCTTCCCATAACTACGCCTTCTGTAACGTCATCCACGAGACCCTGTCAACAAAAATGGATGCGACATCCAGGAGTGAATCTTCTCATCATACGCTTATAGTGCTGCGTCATTGACGTAGATGAAGGAAACATACTAGTAGCCGTACGTGATGGTCTTATGAACTGGAAGATGCGATCAATTTCCCCAAGGGATTATGGTCAGAGAACATTGAAAAAAATGCGCGAAATTGTCTGATCTTCATCGACAGAAAAAATCCCACGTTGCGTATTGGTATCTCGAATGGAAGTCAGCGAAGCTCCGATGGCACGAGATGAATTTTCCTAAAAGCAAAGGTTTGGAAGCTGGGGGCCGTGGTTCAAATGCACATATCAGGTACCTGATTTCTATGACTGAGTATTGAAAAATTCGACCCAGCAGGGAAAAATGCTGGCCTGATGAGAAACACTTACGGCAATGATGCCCGTTGTAAACTGAGGATAATAAAGGATCGCCAAGGACACCTTCTCTCATGTCAACTTCGATACAGTATTTCGCCATAAACGTCATTTTCAAGGGGGAATTCAATTCCGCATCGCAATTCAATGACAAATCAGAGCGATGGAAAGATACTGGAATATGCGCCTGCAAGAAATGAAATTCGAGAATGGAAAACAAAGAATAAATCGTGTACCTCATTTCGCCTCTCGTTATCGGAAATACATACACAACAAAGGATGGCCGTTTGCAGGCACAGGTAAGTGAGGCCCATTCGTCAGAGTTACACACGGACTTCTCATTTGCTAGGAAAAGGAAGGAAATTTTGATGGCCGTGGGAATTTTTCTGCATACTTCTTTCTCTTCCAGGTATTCCCTTGCTCCTTTCTCTCAAGCAAGAGTGACTTTTGAAGGTGAATCCTTTCGCCGGGAAAAGGAAGAAAGGCATTTCTCCGTGGGAAAATACATGCTCCTTCCTCTTCCGGGTCTTTCCGGGTTTTCCCTCTTTCAGTGGAGCACTGTGCAGGCGATAGGTAACGTTCGACTGGACACCTCCGGAGGAGGTGCATACTCATTCCTTCGATGTAGAGAATTCACTAGCTGAAAATTTGCAGATTGACCTCCTCTGCACGCCTCGTGAACGTATCCGGTGAATCGAACATGGACAAACCAAACCCTTCATACGTGTTTGGACCCTGATGTCACTGTACCGATCTTTTTGCAACCCAAAGACCTTGCGACCACTCTTCGGCCCCACTGTATCAGTTTCAATCGGCCGGTTCTCTTGACCGCGTTGTGCAGTACTGTCCCTCATCTGGTCGCGTCCTCCTTATAATGTTGCTGAGAAAAGGTGGGCCATAGGAAATTTACGCTTCCTCTTTTCTGTCTGTCGCTATGTTTCGGGTCTACAGAAGACGGGCAAGCTGCGGTTCCTCCTCACCCAGTGACGTGTAAAAGATCTCGGCTTTTGGACTGAGATGATCCTCACGCGCTACGACTGATGGCATTTCAATTCGGCAGCGATTTCTTTTAAAGCTCTCAGTGACTCAATCAAGTGTCTATGTCTTCTCGGCTATCAGGATTAGATGCAAGAGTGATCTCGATTCTCTGTAAATACGCGTCTTTGCATACCTTTCATCACTGCATTTGTCGCCTCAGTTTCTGCCCTAATCACCCGGTCCCAATACTGCTGTCTACAACCATTCAGAGCTGACTTTTCCATGCACACGCCCATGCGTATACGCAGTATCCTAGCGGTGGGGCGTTCGACTCGGTTACAGATCTACTCATGCTCAATCATACGCCAAAGACTGGACACCGTCTCCATTATCCCTGACATTCACTTTGCAGCTGTCTACTGTCTCACAGGCATCCCTGCTAACCACTCTTGGCTCAGTTGGCAGAGCACTCCAGTTATGGAGATCAGTCGTTCAAATCGGCTAGCGAGAACTAATGTTGGTTGGGAATTTTCTTTTTAGCAAGAGGGCCGGCCCGAAGCTGTTACCGAGATCCGACATTCGAGTCCTGACTCTGAAGCTGATAGAAGCACGGATGTCGCCCCCCGCTAGCTTTAACAACGCATGCATCTCCCTTGCCTCTGTACTCTAACCGCTGAACATATTGAGTACCTTCGAGAGCTCGAGACGTGTATGCAACGGTGAAATCAATATTGCTGTGTCGTAAGTTCTGGTAAAAAGAACGTGTGATTGGCCCACGAAGAAAGATAACACCTATAGTGGGACGCGAATACTAATCTGACAAAGCCCTAGATGGAAAATGGCACGTTCAAAGCAGTATTTTGAAGGAATCAACGCGTGGAGATCACATGTACCGCGAATTTGACCCAATGTCTTTTTTAAAATCTTTGGCACCCCTCTTGGCGTATTACTGACTTTGGCTGTCTAGATCAACTCCTGGTCTCTATGCCCAATGGATCGTAACCACAAAAGCCGAAATAAACCCCTCAAGCGACGTGTACTGACTAACGACTGAGCTGGAACTGTAACTAGAGATGGGGAGGTTCCAGTTAGAAGGGGGTTGGTTTTTTTTTCGCTTTGGCGTCTGTTCACTTTCGTATTTCCGGTCACCTTGTATTCCGAAGTTCAAATAATCGTCTTTGCTTCGAGACACTGCGACCCTAATTCACGTTTATCGGTATTCATGTGAATCGTCTCTATGCAACGCCTGACTGCTGTGCCATTTTATGCTAAATTCCCTGCCATGGTCGACCGTTCCCTTCGCTTTTGAAGCGCATCAGTTTTCGATGATAGTGCCCTTAGAAACAGCTTGCTTGTCTGCCGCCTGTACCGCGGAGCTTAGCAACGGATGGGAATGTTACAAGTTAGCCATTGACCACGACCCGGGTTCACTCCGAGTTTGGGCTCACGGGACAACATGGGAGGTGGCTTGATAAAGCTAAGCTTTGGTAGTTTTGTTGTAGCGTGATGGTGTTATGGTCGAGGACCTTGGTCCGGTATGGCCCTTGCTGGTTTGAATCCAGCTCATACTAATTCGATATTCGACATAGTTTTTGTTAGGTACTATGTTGGTGTTCTTGGCTGACGTCCTGCTACAATGAACCGCATTGATGGTCTTCCTCTTTTTGTCTTTGCATTGTAAATCATCTCAGTCGAAATTGGAAGTCTTACAAGTCTTACTACAGTCATCACTTTCATATCACTCTTACTACAAACATCAGTCAAAGTCGACACCTGCGTGATCCAGGGCGACAGCCTTCAATAATCCGGTTAAGTGCCGTGACGGCCCACCACCATATCATGATGTGAACACGAAAGAAGACGTTTGTATGCGTCGTTTCACCGTGATATACGGTGTGAATTTAATCACGAGGACAAAAATATGCTACCCATTCAAACGGACAAAGATGGGATAGCTGGGGATCCTGGGAAATGGGCTCTCCTGGCTAAGAACGTGATCTTTGGATGTAGGCACATTAACCTTGGGTAGACTGGTGACCATCTCTCTGACAAATCTAGACATTCCAAGCAGAAAGAAAGAATTTCTCTCGCTTGCAATGTTAAGCCGTTAGAGAGATGGTTGGGAGTCTACTTGGTGGTTATTGCTCCTTGATCGGCCCGTCAGGAAATTCATCGAAAATCGGCGAAATTCGTACGTGAATTTCTTAAGTTTTCATTGCAACAGACTAATAAGATAAGTATATAATTACGATGCTATGGTAAGGAGTAAGTAAGCTAATAAGGAATGTAGTAGCGGTGGTGTCCGTACCGGGGAAATATATATATATAGTAAGAAAGAACGAAGTGATCACAAGTGCGAAAAGTAGAAGAGTGCAACGTACGGGCATACGGACGGATATCTTTCAACACAGACAAGACAGATAAACTAAGGCGGGTTCCAGTATAGTCTTCATGCTAAAAGGATGTCCTTTCATTGTCACGCGGTGTAGTCGATACTTCGATCTCGTGATTTGTCCTTCGAGGGAATCAGCTTGATTGAAGCGCATGAATCACAATCAATGGCATTATTCAACCCATTTCACAATCGTTATTGGATATGTACTTAGACGACGTCTGATGGCCTCTTTTCTGTCGGCCGTGTGTCTTCTGTTGACTGGGAACTGGTATCTCGTAAAATAGTTGTCGGGATGCTCGTATCAGTTGAAGACGTATAAGTATCCCGTCCGCCCATGATCCGCATCCGCGAGTTCAGCACCATGAAGACCGTGTTAGCATACAGCTTGGGTATGAGCAGGGCTGGTGTGGTGTAATAAGTCTGATGAGGGAACAAGAAGAAGAGGGCGACAGTGGCCAGAGCGACAGCAGCTGAGTGTACGCGTGTTAATTTCGTGACAACGATGGATGGTGGAGCAAGTACCTGTCACAGATCCGGTCTCAATAGTGAGACGAATTAACTTTGTGATCAGGAGTTGAGTGCGACGGAAATTGGTACTGCTGCGCATGAGCTACGAAAATAGTATCGTCATCGGTGAAGATAGCTAGAAGAGAGAAATTTGCTCACGTAGTACGTCATACAGATAGCGATGACAATATCACATAAGGCAGAGGAACCGCACCAAATCTACACAAGGATTAGCATACCGAACATGAGACACCAGGCCGTATTTACCCCGACCGCAATATTGATTTTCCTCTTATTGAGTTCGATAATATTACCCGCTTCGAAAGAATAGACGCCTGTAACGATAGATGCTACAGTGCTGGTCAACGATAACTGTACACAGCTGAATCAGACTTCCACGGAGAAAGAGTACTGCGACGAACACAGGTAATAAATATTGGGATGATTTGTGACTTTGACAATATGAAGATTCGAAACCCATAGAAGACCTGGCCGACACAAGCAACTGTACCCAGGTAAGTAATAGAAACCTTGTAGAAGATACTGCGCCTACCAATGCCGCTCATGATAGGGACAGCGAACCAATTAAAATGCATGTCCGTGGCGGCTATGAGGTCCCCGAAGCCGTAACCGAACACTGCAAAGGCGTCGTGGGTGACGAACATCGTCTGGACGATCTCGACAATGTAGATGCCATAGACGATGTATTTTGTGAAATTTCTGTCGTTTGGAAATGCCAGATAGTACAGATCTAACGATAATGAATTAGAGGCCGTATTATTTGGAAATGATTTGTATACAAAGCTGCACAGACAGAGTCCCAAAGAGTCCCCAGTGCAAAAGGGAGGCGACGACCTAGGTTTTCATCATGATGAGAGGGATTGAATGGATGAAACGAGAAATCAACCATTGGTCCAGTCCTGAAATACGATGATTCAGTACATACAGCTTCTTGATTTCACAACGATAACTTACAGTTTTTCTATGGGATAACCTGGGGGGACGGGCAGCTTGAACATCTTGTGTCCTGGGGTTGTTCTATCGGTTCTGATAGGAATGCGCCTGTGTATATATGCGATGTGAAAGCCACCCGAGAGAAAGAAGACACCGGAATACCCCCATTCCCAAAAGAAGGCTCATCCGTGATCAGCGCATTGATTCCATCAAACTAAATTTTATGAAAATCCGCAAACCCTGGTTCGAAGGAACTCTCCCTGATATGTAGTGAGACGTGATCTTCATTCAGACCACCTCCAAAATAAACTCTGAGACAGGTACATATACCCTCATGTAGAAACGAGTGGTGAAATTCCGACCGAGTTTTTCAACTACAGAAAAGATGTCGTCTTTACCACTGAACTTGGGAGTCCGATGTGTTTTGCTTTGGTCAAAGTCCGGGTCAAGATTTGGTATATGATCGACCTATTTCAGCCACTTTTGCCTGAATAAATATAGCTGCTTACCAGGAACCTGGAAGGGCTTGTCGTATCTGAGAAAATGCAGCCACGAGAAAGCGATACGCCATGTACCGAGATAGATACGCAGATATGTCCACGGAGTCAACGAAATGGGGTCAATATGAAGTGAGAGCCGACGCAAGGGTAGCAAGACAGAGTCCCCTGGTATTTCAGGGGAGTCTATTAACAGCATCGGCTCTTGATAGACCCCCAAACGGCACAGCTAGAAACCGTAGACCGATACACATGAGGTGACGAGGGGCCACGTTGTGATCAGCTTGGAAATGAAACACTGACGCCAGACAAGTGTGAGTATGCTCGATTCACACGAGACGGACAAGCACCACAACGGAGATACGCGAGAAGAATTCCGATCATCAGATGTATGAAGCAGCGTCTATGGCAATGCATTAGCAACAGCATAAGCTGAGATAGAAGATATGATCTCACACAGAAAGAATACTGAGCGACCAGATTTGCAGGAATAATGTGGTCATTCGTTGCAACATCAATGAATGAATTGACAAAGAACAGGTATGCAAAGACACTGAAGCACTGACAGACGAGCATAGAGAGCTACTCTCATCTGAGATGGAGCATACGGTGACGTCCTGTCGGATGAACCGTAGATCCGCAAGCCCGCCCTTGCACCTCATGTCATTCGGATGCCGGGACTCTGGCTAGGTTATCTGACAGAAGAGACGACATTCTAATACTACTCACTTGACGGTGATGCCGAGAAACGTTCAAGGCAAGATTTTGAAATTTGCGACTCGTTGAGATCACATGCACCCCGATTACATCCGTGGGAAGGAATTGCCGAGGTGCCGGCGTCACCCTATGTGGAGCTTTTCGACGGCGTCTTCGATCTCCTGTGTATCCAAACTAGTACAAGTTCTCCTTGGCATCATGGCCCTGACTAGCTGAAAAAGGTGAGTCGTAGCCAGTTGAAACGAATATTACGAGGTCTTGGGAGTCGGCAAGTCGGACACAGCTACAGTACGGATTACGGACGTTAGAGGTGCATGCATTGTTTTTCTTGTTTTGATGCTGACGTATCGCTAACTTTGGTCATCTAGCTTGACTAGCTTGCCTCTACTGATTACCCTACGAAACATACCCGCAACAGCCGGGCCAATTCCCTCGAACGAT